CATGGGGACACACACGGGGACACACACGGGGACATGGGGACACACACGGGGACACACACGGGGACACACACGGGGACACACACGGGGACACACATGGGGACACACACAGGGACACACATGGGGACACACACGGGGACATGGGGACACACACGGGGACACACACAGGGACACACACGGGGACACACACGGGGACACACACGGGGACATGGGGACACACACAGGGACATGGGGACACACATGGGGACACACATGGGGACACACACAGGGACACACATGGGGACACACACGGGGACATGGGGACACACACGGGGACACACACAGGGACACACACGGGGACACACACGGGGACACACACGGGGACATGGGGACACACATGGGGACACACACAGGGACACACACGGGGACACACACGGGGACACACACGGGGACATGGGGACACACATGGGGACACACATGGGGACACACACAGGGACACACATGGGGACACACACGGGGACATGGGGACACACACGGGGACACGGGGACACACACGGGGACACACACAGGGACACACATGGGGACACACATGGGGACACACACAGGGACACACACGGGGACACACATGGGGACACACACGGGGACACACACGGGGACACACATGGGGACACACACGGGGACACACACGGGGACACACACGGGGACACACACAGGGACACACACGGGGACACACATGGGGACACACACAGGGACACACATGGGGACACACATGGGGACACACACGGGGACACGGGGACACACACAGGGACATGGGGACACACATGGGGACATGGGGACACACATGGGGACACACATGGGGACATGGGGACACACATGGGGACACACACAGGGACACACATGGGGACACACACAGGGACACACACAGGGACACACACGGGGACACACATGGGGACACACATGGGGACACACACGGGGACACACACGGGGACACACATGGGGACATGGGGACACACACAGGGACACACACAGGGACACACACGGGGACACACATGGGGACATGGGGACACACACAGGGACACACATGGGGACACACACAGGGACATGGGGACACACACGGGGACACACACAGGGACACACACGGGGACACACACGGGGACACACACGGGGACACACACGGGGACATGGGGACACACACGGGGACACACATGGGGACACACACGGGGACACACACGGGGACACACACGGGGACATGGGGACACACACGGGGACACACATGGGGACACACACGGGGACACACACGGGGACACACACGGGGACACACACGGGGACACACATGGGGACATGGGGACATGGGGACACACATGGGGACACACACGGGGACACACACGGGGACACACACGGGGACACACACGGGGACACACATGGGGACATGGGGACATGGGGACACACATGGGGACACACACGGGGACACACACAGGGACACGGGGACACACACGGGGACATGGGGACACACACGGGGACACACACGGGGACACACACAGGGACACACATGGGGACACACACAGGGACACACATGGGGACACACATGGGGACACACACGGGGACACACACAGGGACACACATGGGGACACACACAGGGACACACACGGGGACACACATGGGGACACAGGGACACACACGGGGACACACACGGGGACACACACGGGGACACACACGGGGACACACACGGGGACACGGGGACACACACAGGGACACACACGGGGACACACACGGGGACACACACGGGGACACACACAGGGACACACACGGGGACACACATGGGGACACACACGGGGACACACACGGGGACATGGGGACACACATGGGGACATGGGGACACACATGGGGACACACACAGGGACACACACGGGGACACACACGGGGACACACACAGGGACACACGCGGGGACACACACAGGGACACACATGGGGACACACACGGGGACACACACGGGGACACACACGGGGACACACATGGGGACACACATGGGGACACACATGGGGACACACACAGGGACACACACGGGGACACACACAGGGACACACACGGGGACACACACGGGGACACACACGGGGACACACATGGGGACACACACGGGGACATGGGGACACACATGGGGACACACATGGGGACACACATGGGGACACACACGGGGACATGGGGACACACATGGGGACACACATGGGGACACACATGGGGACACACACAGGGACACACACGGGGACATGGGGACACACACGGGGACACACACGGGGACATGGGGACACACACAGGGACACACACAGGGACACACACAGGGACACACACGGGGACATGGGGACACACACGGGGACACACACGGGGACACACACGGGGACATGGGGACACACATGGGGACATGGGGACACACACGGGGACACACACAGGGACACACACGGGGACACACACGGGGACACACACGGGGACACACACGGGGACATGGGGACACAGGGACACGGCTGAGGGACGTCAGCGCCGGCCCAGCCCCCAGCGTGTCACCCAATGTGTGTCACCAACGTGTCACCAATGTGTGTCACCCTGTGTGTCATCAGTGTCCCCCTGTGTCCCCTGATGTCCCCTGTGTCCCCTCTGTCCATCCCCCCGTGCCCCCTATGTCCCCTGATGTCCCCTGATGTCCCCTATGTCCCCTCTGTGTCCCTCCTGTATCCCCTCTGTGTCCCCCCTGTGTCCTCCTGATGTCCCCTGATGTCCCCTGGTGTCCCCTGTGTGTCCCCATATCATCCTGTGTCACCCCTGTGTCCCCTGCTGTCCCCAGGCTGCTGTCCATGGTGCTGATGTCCCCTGTGCCACCCCTGTGTCACCCCTGTGTCACCCGTGTCCCAGTGTCACCCTGCTGTCCCCTGGCGCCTCTGATGTCCCTCATGTCCCCAAGTCCCCCTGTGTCCCCTCTGTGTCACCTGTGTCACCCGTGTCCTTGTGTCACCTGTGTCTCTGCTGTCCCCTGTGTCACCCTGTGTCACCCCTGTGCCACCTGTGTGTCACCTGTGTCCCTGCTGTGTCCCCATGTCACCCCTGTGTCACCCCTGTGTCACCTGTGTCTTTGTGTCACCCCTGTGTCACCTGTGTCACCCTGCTGTCCCTGTGTCACCTGTGTCACCTGTGTCACCCTGCTGTCCCTGTGTCACCCTTCTGTCCCCTGGTGTCTCTGATGTCCCTGTGTCCTCCTGTCCCCGTGTCATCCTGTGTCACCCCTGTGTCACCTGTGTCCCTGATGTCCCTGTGTCCCTGCTGTGTCCCCATGTCACCCCTGTGTCACCCCTGTGTCACCTGTGTCACACCTGCTTTCCCCTGGTGTCTCCTGTGTCACCTGTGTCACCCTGCTGTCCCTGTGTCACCCTTCTGTCCCCTGGTGTCTCTGATGTCCCTGTGTCCTCCTGTCCCCGTGTCATCCTGTGTCACCCCTGTGTCGCCTGTGTCACACCTGTCTGTCACCCGTGTGTGTACCCTGTGTCACACCTGTGTGTCACACCTGTGTGTCACCTGTATTCCTGATGTCCCCCTGTCCCCATGTCATCCCTGTGTCACCTGTGTCCCACCTGTGTGTCCCCCGTGTCCCACCTGTGTCTCACCTGTGTCCCTGTGTCACCCTGTGTCACCTGTGTGTGTCACCCCTGTGTGTGTCACCCGTGTGTCACCTGTGTCACCCCTGCTTTCCCTGTGTCTCACCTGTGTCACCTGTGTCACCCCTGTGTCTCACCTGTGTCCCCCTGTGTCACCTGTGTGTCACCTGTGTCACCCCTGCTTTCCCTGTGTCTCACCTGTGTCCCAGTGTCACCTGTGTCCCCTGTGTCACCTGTGTCCCTGTCCCCTCTGTGTCACCCCTGTGACCCTGTGTCACCTGTGTCATCCCTGTGTCTCACCTGTGTCCCCCTGTGTCACCTGAGTGTCACCTGTGTCACCCCTGCTTTCCCTGTGTCCCTGTGTCCCCTGTGTGTCCCCTGTGTCACACCTGTGTCTCACCTGTGTCACCTGTGTCTCACCCCTTTGTGTCCCCTGTGTCTCACCTGTGTCTCACCTGTGTTACCTGTGTGTCACCATTGTCACCTGTTTGTCCCACCAGTGTCCCACCCGTGTGTGTCCCCTGTTTGTCCCACCTGTGTCTCACCTGTGTCCCCTGTGTGTCCCCTGTGTGTCCCACCTGTGTCTCACCTGTGTGTGTCCCCTGTTTGTCCCACCTGTGTCTCACCTGTGTCACCTGTTTGTCCCCTGTTTGTCCCCTGTGTGTCCCCTGTGTCACCTGTTTGTCCTCTGTGTGTCCCCTGTGTCTCACCTGTGTCTCACCTGTGTCCCACCAGTGTCCCACCCGTGTCCCACCCGTGTGTGTCCCCTGTTTGTCCCACCTGTGTCTCACCTGTGTCCCCTGTGTGTCCCCTGTGTGTCCCCTGTGTGTCACCTGTGTGTCACCTGTGTCTCACCTGTGTCCCACCTGTGTCACACCTGTGTAACCTGTCACCTGTGTCACCCTGTGTCCCTGTGTCATCTCTGCTGTCCCTGTGTCACCCTGTGTCACCTGTGTGTGTCACCCCTGTGTGTGTCACCTGTGTCACCCCTGTGTGTCACCTGTGTGTCACCTGTGTCACCTGTTTGTCCCCTGTTTGTCCCCTGTGTGTCCCCTGTGTCTCACCTGTGTCACCAGTGTCACCCGTGTCCCACCCGTGTGTGTCCCCTGTTTGTCCCACCTGTGTCTCACCTGTGCCTCACCTGTGTCACCTGTTTGTCCCGTGTGTCCCCTGTGTCTCACCTGTGTCTCACCTGTGTCTCCTGTGTCACCTGTGTCACCAGTGTCCCACCCGTGTGTGTCCCCTGTTTGTCCCACCCGTGTCCCACCCGTGTCCCACCTGTGTCTCACCCGTGTCTCACCTGTCTCACCCGTGTCTCACCCGTGTGTGTCCCCTGTGTGTCCCACCCGTGTCTCACCTGAGTGTCCCCTGCTGTCCCCAGGTTGGTGTCCTCTGTCCAGGCTGTCATGGCCTCCACGGCCGGGTTCATCATCTCCAGCTCCTGCCAGAACAACGTCATCGAGGACAGGTGAGGGACACCTGGGGACACACACACACCATGGGGACACACCTGGGGACACCTGGGGACACACCTGGGGAGGGGACACACCTGGGGACACACCTGGGTTCATCATCTCCAGCTCCTGCCAGAACAACGTCATCAATGACAGGTGAGGGACACCTGGGGAGGGGACACACCTGGGGACACACCTGGGGGGACACACCTGGGGACACCCAGATAATGGGGACACCTGGAGACACCTGGGGACAAACCTGGGACACCTGGGGGGGACACACCTGGGACACCTGGGGGGGACACACCTGGGACACCTGGGGACACACCCAGACCATAGGGACACACCTGGAGACACCTGGGGACACCCTCATATCCATGGGGACACACCTGGGACAGCTGGGGACACACCTGGGGACACACCCAGACCATAGGGACACACCTGGGACACCTGGGGACACACCTGGGGACACACCTGGGACACACCCAGATCATGGGGACACACCTGGGACACACCTGGGGACACACCCGGGTTCATCATCTCCAGCTCCTGCCAGAACAACGTCATCGAGGACAGGTGAGGGACACCTGGGGGGGACACACCTGGGGGGGACACACCTGGGGAGGGGACACCTGGGGGGGACAGCTGGGGACACACCTGGGGACACACCTGGGTTCATCATCTCCAGCTCCTGCCAGAACAACGTCATCGAGGACAGGTGAGGGACACCTGGGGGGGACACACCTGGGGGGGGGACACACCTGGGGACACCTGGGGGGACACATCTGGGGACACACCTGGGGGGGACACACCTGGGGACACACCTGGGGGTACCTGAGACACACCGGGGACACATTTGGGGACACCTGGGCACACCTGGGACTAAACCAAAACACTCCTGGGCACACCTGGGCACACCTGGGAGTATCTGAGAGACACCTGGGCACACCTGGTGGGTACCTGGGCACACCTGGGCACACCTGGTGGGTACCTGGGCACACCTGGGCACACCTGGGACTAAACCAAGACACACCTGGGCACACCTGGGGACACCTGGGACACACCTAGGACATATCTGGGGGTATCTGAGAGACACCTGGGGCACACCTGGGAGTATCTGGGAGATACCTGTCCCTCACCTGTCCCCCACCTGTGTCCCTCACCGTGACCAACTCAGTGAATTTTTAAGTGAATTTCGCTGATTTTTGGGGCCGATTCAGTGAATTTTGGGGTAAAATCTTGGGGTTTTTTTGTGATTTTTTTGTGGATATTTTTTACCTCACCTGTCCCTCACCTGTCCCCACCTGTCCCTCACCTGTCCCCACCTGTCCCTCACCTGTCCCTCACCTGTCCCTCACCTGTCCCTCACCTGTCCCTCACCTGTCTCTCCCCTGCAGGCACTGGCTGGCGTGGGCGTACCCGCCGCTGGCGGTGCCGTACTTCGTGTACGACGTGTACGCCATGTACCTGTGCCACACCTGGGACACCTGGGGACACACCTGGGGACACACCTGGGGCACACCTGGGGACACCTGGGCACACCTGAGACACACCTGGGGGTATCTGAGACACACCTGGGCACACCTGGGCACACCTGGAGGCACCTGTGACTGAACCAAAACACACCTGGGCACACCTGGGAGTATCTGGGCACACCTGGGGCACACCTGGGACTAAACCAAAACACACCTGGGGCACCTGGGCTCACCTGAGACACACCTGGGTTACATTCGGTGACATTTAGAGCACACCTGGACACACCTGGTGGTATCTGAGACACACCTGGGCACACCTGGGGACACCTGGAATGCATTTGGGCACACCTGGACACACCTGTGACTAAACCAAAGCACACCTGGGCACACCTGGGACACACCTGGGGGTATGTGAGACACACCTGGGAGACACCTGGTGGGTACCTGGGCACACCTGGGCGCACCTGGCGGTATCTGAGACACACCTGAGACACACCTGGGCACACCTGGGACACATTTGGGGACACCTGGGACACACCTGGGACTAAACCAAGACACACCTGGGCACACCTGGGAGTACCTGAGACACACCTGGGCACACCTGGGGACACCTGGGACACACCTAGGACATATCTGGGGGTATCTGAGAGACACCTGGGGCACACCTGGGAGTATCTGGGAGATCCCTGTCCCTCACCTGTCCCTCACCTGTCCCCACCTGTCCCTCACCTGTCCCTCACTGTGACCAACTCAGGGAATTTTTCAGTGAATTTCGCTGATTTTTGGGGCAAAATCTTGGGATTTTTTACCATTTTTTTGGGGTATTTTTTATCTCACCTGTCCCTCACCTGTCCCTCACCTGTCCCCACCTGTCCCTCACTGTGACCAACTCAGGGAATTTTTAAGTGAATTTCGCTGATTTTTGGGGCCAATTCAGTGAATTTTGGGGTAAAATCTTGGGGTTTTTTTGTGATTTTTTTGTGGATATTTTACCTCACCTGTCCCTCACCTGTCCCTCACCTGTCCCCCCTGCAGGCACTGGCTGGCGTGGGCGTACCCGCCGCTGGCGGTGCCGTGTTTTGTGTACACCACGAACCTGGGGCACACCTGGGCACACCTGGGCACATTTAGAGCACACCTGGGCACACCTGGGGGTATCTAAGACACACCTGGGCACACCTGGGGCACCTGTGGCACTCTGTGCCACACCTGGGCACACCTGGGCACACTTAGAGTACACTTGGGCACACCTGGGCACACCTGGGGGTATCTAAGAGACACCTAGGCACACCTGGAATGGATTTGGGCACACCTGGGCACACCTGGAATGGATTTGGGCACACCTGGGCACACCTGGAATGGATTTGGGCACACCTGGGATTAAACCAAAACACTCCTGGGGACACCTGGGACACACCTTGGGCACACCTGAGAGACACCTGGGTTACATTCAGTGACATTTGGGCACACCTGGGGGGTACCTGAGACACATCTTGGGCACACCTGGGCACACCTGGGGGTATCTGAGACACACCCGGGCACACCTGGTGGATACCTGGGCACACCTGGGCACACCTGGGACTAAACCAAGACACACCTGGGCACACCTGGGAGTACCTGGGACACATCTTGGGCACACCTGGGAGCATCTGGGAGATCCCTGGGCACACCTGGGGCACATTTAGAGCACACCTGGGCACACCTGGGGCACTCTGTGCCACACCTGGGCACACCTGGGGGTATCTGGGAGACACCTGTCCCTCACTGTGACCAACTCAGTGAATTTTTCAGTGAATTTCGCTGATTTTTGGGGTAAAATATTGGAGTTTTTTTGTGATTTTTTGTGGATATTTTCCCTCACCTGTCTCTCACCTGTCCCTCACCTGTCCCTCACTGTGACCAACTCAATGAATTTTTCAGTGAATTTCGCTGATTTTTGGGGCCAATTCAGTGAATTTTGGGGTAAAATCTTGGGGGTTTTTGTGATTTTTTGTGGATATTTTTTGCTCACCTGTCCCTCACCTGTCCCTCACCTGTCCCTCACCTGTCCCTCACCTGTGTCCCTCACCGTGACCAATTCAGGGAATTTTTCAGTGAATTTCGCTGATTTCTGGGGCCAATTCAGTGAATTTTGGGGTAGAATCTTTGGGATTTTTTTACCATTTTTTGGGGGTATTTTTTCCCTCACCTGTCCCTCACCTGTCCCTCACCTGCAGGCACTGGCTGGCGTGGGCGTACCCGCCGCTGGCGGTGCCGTACTTCGTGTACGACGTGTACGCCATGTACCTGTGCCACCTGTGCCGCGCCCAGGTCAAAGGCCACGCCCCCGGCGCCCCGGCCCCGCCCCGCGCCGCCGCCGCCTTCCTGCGCCAGGAGCTGCTCATGGTGCTGCACCACCTGGCCATGGTGCTGGTCTGCTTCCCTGTGGCCACCGTGAGTGAGGGGGCACCTGGGCACACCTGGGCACACCTGGGCACACCTGGGCACGGCTGGGAGGGGATGGGCAAAAAAAACCCCGTGAAAATCGGGTGGAAAATGGGGATTTTGGGGTGGAAATGGGGATTTTGGGGTGGAAAATGGGGGTTTAGGGACACCTGGGCACACCTGGGCACACCTGGGCACACCTGGGCACAGCTGGGAGGGGATGGACAAGAAAAACCCCGCGAAAATCGGGTGGAAAATGAGGATTTTGGGGTGTGAAAATGGGGATTTTGGGGTGGAAAATTGGGGATTTTGGGGTGGAAAAATGGGGATTTTGGGGGCACCTGGGCACACCTGGGCACACCTGGGCACAGCTGGGCACACCTGGGAGGGGATGGGCAAAAAAAACCCCGTGAAAATTGGGTGGAAAATGAGATTTTGGGGTGGAAAATGGGGATTTTGGGGTGGAAAATGGGGATTTTGGGGTGGAAAATGGGGATTTTGGGGTTACCTGGGGGCACCTGGGCATGGCTGGGAGGGGATGAACAAAAAAAACCCGGTGAAATTTGGGTGGAAAATGAGGAATTTGGGGTTACCTGGGCACAGATGGGGGGGAAAAAACCAGCGAAAATTGGGGGGAAATCGGTGAAAATTGGGGGTTTAGGGACACCTGGGCACACCTGGGCACAGCTGGGCACAGCTGGGCACAGCTGGGAGGGGATGGGAGGGGATGGGCAGAAAAAACCCCGTGAAAATTGGGTGGAAAATGGGGATTTTGGGGTGGAAAATGGGGGTTTAGGGACACCTGGGCACAGCTGGGAAGGGAGGGGAAAAAAAAACCCCTTGAAAATTGGGTCAAAAATGAGGATTTTGGGGTTAAAAATGGGGATTTTGGGTGGAAAATTGGGGATTTTGGGGTGGAAAAATGGGGGTTTAGGGACACCTGGGCACAGCTGGGAGGGGATGGGCAAAAAAAACCCCGTGAAAATCGGGTGGAAAATGGGGATTTTGGGTGGAAAATGGGATTTTGGGGTTGAAAATGGGGATTTTGGGTTACCTGGGCACACCTGGGCACAGCTGGGCACAGCTAGGAGGGGATGGGCAAAAAAAACCCCGTGAAAATCGGGTGGAAAATGGGGATTTTGGGTGAAAAATGGGGATTTTGGGGTGGAAAATTGGGATTTTGGGGGTGAAAAATGGGGATTTTGGGGTGAAAAATGGGGATTTTGGGGTTACCTGGGCACAGCTGGGAATGGAAAAATGGTGAAAATTGAGGGAAATTTGGGGAAAATTGGTGAAAATTGGGGGAAAATCAGTGAAAATTGGGGGTTTAGGGACACCTGGGCACAGCTGGGAGGGGATGGGCAAAAAAACCCTGTGAAAATCGGGTCAGAAATGAGGATTTTGGGGATGGAAATGGGGATTTTGGGGTTACCTGGGCACAGCTGGGAATGGGAAAATGGTGAAAATTGGGGGAAATTGGTGAAAATTGGGGGGGTTTGGGGACACCTGGGTGACCTTTGGGGGACACACTGGGGGCGTTGGGTGACCTTTTGGGGGGGGCTGGGGACATTTTTGGGGACACTTTGGGGACATTTTTGGGGTGTTGGGGGACACTTTGGGGACATTTTGGGGACACTCTGGGGACATTTTGGGGACATTTTGGGGTCACCTTGGGGACATTTTTGGGGGACACCTTGGGGGACACTTGGGGGTCACTTTGGGGACATTTCAGGGTCACCTTGGGGGACATTTTTGGGGACATCTTGGGGACATTTGGGGGCACCTTGGTGACATTGGGTGACCTTTGGGGGGTTGGGGACACTTTGGGGACACTTTGGGGACACCTGGGTGACATTTGGGGTCACCTTGGGGGACACCTTGGTGACATTGGGGGACATTTTGGCGTCACCTTGGGGGACACTTTAGGGACATTTTTTGGGACACCTTGGGTGATATTTGGGGACATTTTTGGGGACACTTTGGGAACATTTTTGGGGGACATTCTGGGGACACTTTGGGGACATTTTTGGGGGACATTCTGGGGACACTTTGGGGACATTTTTGGGGACACTTTGGGGACACCTTGGGACATTGGGTGACCTTGGGGACCCCGGGGACCATTTGGGGTCACCTTGGGGGACACTTTGGGACATTTTTGGGGAAATTTTGGGGACACTTTAGGGACACCTTGGTGACATTTGGGGACATTTTTGGGACATTTTTGGGGGACATTTTGGGGACATTTTGGGTTCACCTTGGGGGACACTTTGGGGACACCTTGGTGACATTTGGGGTCACTTTGGGGACTTTTTGGGGACTTTTTGGGGTCACTTTGGGGTCACCTTGAGGGACACTTTGGGGACATTTTTGGGGACATTTTTGGGGACACTTTGGGGACATTTTTGGGGACACTTTGGGGACACCTTGGGGACATTTTTGGGGTGTTGGGGACACTTGGAGGAGCTCAGGTGACCTTTGGGGTGTTGGGGACACTTTGGGGACCCCGGGTGACATTTGGGGACATTTTTGGATCACCTTGGGGGACACTCTGGGGACATTTTTAGGGACATTTTGGAGAAATTTTTGGGGACATTTTTTGGGACATTTTTGGGGTCACTTTGGGGACATTTCGGGGTCACCTTGGGGGACACTTTGGGGACATTTTTGGGGTGTTGGGGACACCTTGGTGACATTGGGTGACCTTTGGGGGGGGGTTTGGGGACACTTTGGGGACATTTTTGGGGTCACTTGGGGGACTTTTGGGGGACATTTTGGGGACACCTTGGTGACATTGGGGGACATTTTGGGACATTTTTGGGGACATTTAGGGACACTTTGGGGACATTTTTGGGGACATTTTGGGGACACCTTGGGGGACATTTTGGGGACATTTTGGGGTCACTTTGGGGACACCTTGGGGACATTGGGTGACATTTGGGGACACTTTTGGGGACATTTTTTGGGACATTTTTTGGGGACATTTTGGGGCTATTTTGGGGTCACTTTGAGGGACACTTTGGGGACATTTTGGGGACACCTTGGGGACACTTCGAGGACACTTTGGGGACACTTTGGGAACATTTTTGGGGGACACTTTGGGGACATTTTGGAGAAATTTTTGGAGACATTTTTGGGGTGTTGGGGACACTTTGGTGACATTGGGTGACCTTTGGGGGGTTGGGGACCCTTTGGGGAGACCTTGGTGACATTGGGTGACATTTGGGGACACTTTGGGGGACATTTTGGGGACCATTTTTAGGGACATTTTGGAGAAATTTTTGGGGACATTTTTTGGGTCTCTTTGGGGACATTTTTGGGGTGTTGGGGACACCTTGGTGACATTGGGTGACCTTTGGGGGGGGTTTGGGGACACTTTGGGGACACTTTGGGGTCACTTTGGGTACATTTTTGGGGACACCTTGGGGACACCTTGGTGACATTTGGGGACCTTTTGGGGACACTTTTGGGGGACATTTTTGGGTCACCTTGGGGGTCACTTTGGGGACATTTTTTGGGATGTTTGGGGACATTTTGGGACACCTTGGGGACATTTTTGGGGACATTTTGGGATGTTTGGGGACATTTTGGGGACATTTTGGGACATTTTTGGGGACACACCTTGGGACATTTTTGGTGACATTTGGGGACCCTTTTGGGGACATTTTGGGGACATTTTTGGGGTCTTGGGGGACACTTTGGGACATTTTGGGGGTGTTGGGGACACCTTGGTGACATTGGGTGACCTTTGAGGGGTTGGGGACACTTTGGGGGGGGTTGGGGACATTTTGGGGGGGTCGGGGCCGGTTTTGGGGACATTTTTGGGGCCATTTGGTGCCATTTGGGTGTCCCCGGTGTCCCCCAGCTGTGGCGCCAGGGCAAGGGCGATTTCTTCCTGGGCTGCCTCCTGATGGCCGAGCTGAGCACCCCCTTCGTGTGCCTGGGCAAGGTCCTCATCCTGGTGAGAGATGGCCCCAAATGTCCCCAAGTGTCCCCAAAGTGTCCCCAAGTGCAAAAAACCCCGAAAAAATCCCACGAAAAATGAGCCAGAAATGGGAAAATCCCATAAAAATCCCAAAAAAATCCCAAAATCCGCCCAAAATCCACTCCTAAATCTGGGCAAGGTCCTCATCCTGGTGAGAGATGGCCCCAAATGTCCCCAAGTGTCCCCAAGTGTCCCCAAATGCAAAAAACCCCGAAAAAATCCCATCAAAAATGAGCCAGAAATGGCCCAGAAATGGGAAAATCCCATAAAAATCCATAAAAATCCCAAAATCCGCCCCAAGGCTGGGCCAGGTCCTCATCCTGGTGAGAGATGGCCCTAAATGTCCCCAAGTGTCCCCAAAATGTCCCCAAATGCAAAAAACCCCGAAAAAATCCCGCGAAAAATGAGCCAGAAATGGCCAAAAACGGGAAAATCCCATAAAAATCCCATAAAATCCCATAAAAATCCCATAAAAATGCACCTGGGCCAGGTCCTCATCCTGGTGAGAGATGGCCCCAAGTGTCCCCAAATGTCCCCAAAATGTCCCCAAGTGCAAAAACCCCCGAAAAAATCCCACAAAAAATGAGCCAGAAATGGCCAAAAACGGGAAAATCCAGAAAATCCCATAAAAATCCCCCCAAAATCCCCCAAAAATCCCAAAAATTTCACAAAAAATCCCCAGAAAATCCCCAAGAATTCAGAAAAAATTCCCAAGGCAATCCCCAAAAATCCCAAAAAATCCCAAAAAATTTCAGAAAAATCCCCAAAAATCCCAAAAAAATTTCACAAAAAAATCCCTGAAAAATCCCAAAAAATCCCCAAAAAATCCCAAAAAATCCCCCAAAAAATCCCCCCAAAATTTCACAAAAAATCCCCAAAAATCCCCCCAAAAATCCCAAAAATTTCACAAAAAATTCCCAAGGAAATCCCCCAAAAAATCCCAAAAAATTTTAGAAAAAAATCCCAAAAACTTTCACAAAAAATCCCCCAAAAATCCCCCAAAAAATCCCAAAAAATCCCCAAAATTTTCACCAAAAAAATCCCAAAAAATTTCACAAAAAAATTCACAAAAATCCCCAAAACCCCAAAATTTCTCCCAAAAACCCCAAAATTTTCCCCAAAATGCCCCAAAAACCCAAAAATTTCCCCAAAAAATCCCCAAATTTCCCCCCGAAAACCCCAAAATTTCCCCCAAAATTTCCCCGAAAACCCCAAAATTCCCCCAAAATGCCTCAAAAGCCCCAAAATTCCCCAAACCCCAAAATTTGCCCTAAAATGCCCCAAAATGCCCCAAAAAACCCCAAATTTCCCCAAAAACCTCAAAATTTCCCCAAAATGCCCAAAACCCCCAAAATTTCCCCAAATGCCCAAAATTTCCCCAAAAACGCAAAATCTCCCCCAAAATGCCCCCAAAACCCCAAAATTTCCCCTAAAATGCCCCAAAATGCCCCAAAAACCCCAAAATTTCCCCAAAAACCCCAAAATTTCCCTCAAAATGCCACAAAATCTCCCCCAAAATGCCCCAAAAACCCCAAAATGCCCCAAAAACCCCAAAATTTCCCCAAAAACCCCAGAATTCCCCCAAAATGCCTCAAAAACCCAAAATGCCCCCAAAATGCCCCAAAACCCCCAAAATTTCCCCTAAAAAACCCCAAAACCCCCCAAAACCCCAAAATTCCCCCAAAATGCCCCAAAATGCCCCAAAAAGCCCCAAAATTTCCCCAAAATCCCCAAAATTTCCCTCAAAATGCCCCAAAATCTTCCCCAAAATGCCCCAAAAACCCCAAAATTTCCCCCAAAACCCCAAAATTTCCCCAAAATGCCCCAAAATCTCCCCCAAAATGCCCAAAAACCCCAAAATTCCCCCAAAAAGCCCCAAAAAACCCAAAATTTCCCCTAAAATGCCCCAAAATGCCCCAAAACCCCCAAAAATTTCCCCCAAAAAACCCCAAAATTTCCCCCAAAACCCCAAAATTTCCCCTAAAATGCCCCAAAACCCCCAAAATTTCCCCCCAAAATTTCCCCAAAATTTCCCAAAATTCCCCAAAATGCCCCAAAAACCCCAAAATTCCCCCCAAAACGCCAAAATTTCCCCCTAAAAACCCCAAAATTTCCCCCCAAAACTTCCCCCAAAATTTCCCCCAAAATGCCCCCAAAACCCCCAAAATTGCCCCAAAATGCCCCAAAAAACCCCAAAATTTCCCCCAAAACCCCAAAATTTCCCCAAAATGCCCCAAAATCTCCCCCAAAATGCCCCAAAAACCCAAAAATTTCCCCAAAAATCCCCAAATTTCCCCCCGAAAACCCCAAAATTTCCCCCAAAATTTCCCCGAAAACCCCAAAATCTCCCCCAAAATGCCCCAAAAACCCCAAAATTCCCCCAAAAACCCCAAAATTTCTCCCAAAATCTCCCCCCAAAAACCCCAAAATTTCCCCAAAAATGCCCCAAAAACCCCAAAATTTCCCCCAAATTCCCCCAAAATGCCCCAAAAAACCCAAAATTTCCCCAAAAACCCCAAAATTTCCCCCCAAATGCCCCCAAAAAACCCCAAATTTCCCCCAAAATTTCCCCTAAAATGCCCCAAAAAACCCCAAATTCCCCCAAAATTTCCCCCCAAAAACCCCCAAATTTCCCCCAAAATCCCCAAAATCTCCCCCAAAATGCCCCAAAATGCCCCAAAAACCCAAAAATTCCCCCAAAAAACCCAAAATTTCCCCCAAAATTTCCCCCCAAAAACCCCAAACTTTCCCCTAAAATGCCCCAAAAAACCCCAAAATCTCCCCCAAAATGCCCCAAAAATGCCCCAAAAACCCCAAAATTTCCCCAAAAACCCCAAAATTTCCCCCAAAATGCCCCAAAACCCCCAAAATTTCCCCCAAAAACCCCCAAATTTCCCCTAAAAACCCAAAATCTCCCCCAAAAACCCCAAAATTTCCCCCCAAAAGCCCCAAAAACCCCAAAATTTCCCCCAAAACCCCCAAATCTCCCCCAAAATACCCCAAAATCTCCCCCAAAATGCCCCAAAAAACCCCAAAATTTCCCCAAAAACCCCAAAATTTCCCCCAAAAATTTCCCCCAGAATTTCCCCCAAAATGCCCCAAAAAACCCCAAAATTTCCCCTAAAATGCCCCAAAACCCCAAAAATTTCCCCCAAAATGCCCCAAAACCCCGAAATTTCCCCTAAAATGCCCCAAATGCCCCCAAAAACCCCAAAATGCCCCAAAAAACCCCAAAATTTCCCCAAAAACCCCAAAATTTCCCTCAAAATGCCCCAAAATCTCCCCCAAAATGCCCCAAAAACCCCAAAATTCCCCCAAACCCCAAAATGCCCCAAAATCTTCCCCAAAATTTCCCCAAAAACCCCAAAATCTCCCCCAAAATCTCCCCCCAAAAAATCCCAAAATTTCCCCCAATATGCCCCAAAAAACCCCAAAATTTCCCCAAAACCCCAAAATTTCCCCCAAAATTTCCCCAAAAACCCCAAAATCTCCCCCAAAACCCCAAAACCCCAAAATTTCCCCAAAATGCCCCAAAAACCCCAAAATTTCCCAAAAAACCCCAAAATTTCCCCCCAAATGCCCCCAAAAACCCCCAAATTTCCCCCAAAATCTCCCCCAAAATCTCCCCCCAAAACCCCAAAATGCCCCCAAAATGCCCCAAAACCCCAAAATCTCCCCCAAAACCCCAAAAACCCCAAAATTCCCCCCAAATTTTCCCCAAACCCCAAATCCCCCCCAATTTCTCCCAATCCCCGGGGATCCCCCCCAGCCCCCCTCGGCTCCCCCGGGGCCTCCCCTGAAGGTCCCAAAGTGTCCCCGGTGTCCCCTCCAACCCCCCTGAGATGGGACCAGCCCAGGTCCCTGCCCTTGGCCCCACCCCACAAGGACCTTTGGGGTCCCCATGGATTTGGGACATCCCAGAGACCCCAAAACCACATCGGGGTCACTTCCAGAAGGTCCCCATGGTTCTCCTCAAACCCCCCTGAGATGTGGCCACCACAAATTCCTCCCCTTCTCCCCATCCCAGAAGAACTTTGGAGGTCTCCATGGATTTGTGACCCCCCAGAGACCCCATAACCACATTGGGGTCACTTCCAGAGACTTCCCCAATTGTCCCCCAAACCCCCCTGAGATGTGGCCACCACAAATTCCTCCCCTTCTCCTCATCCCAGAAGAACTTTTGAGGTCTCCATGGATTCCTCACCCCCTAGAGACCCCATAACAACATCGGGATCGCTTCCAGAAGGTCCCCATTGTTCTCCTCAAACCCCCCTGAGATGTGGCCACCACAAATTCTCCCCTTCTCCCCACCCCAGAAGAACTTTTGAGGTCTCCATGGATTTGTCCCACCCCACAGACCCCATAACAACATCGGGGTCACTTCTAGAAGGTCCCCATGGTTCTCCTCAAACCCCCCTGAGATGTGGCCACCACAGATTCCTCCCCTTGTCCCCATCCCAGAAGAACTTTTGAGGTCTCCTTGGATTCCTCACACCCCAGAGACCCCAGAACCACATTTGGATCCCTTCCAGAGACTTCCCCAATTGTCCCCCAAACCCCCCTGAGATGTGGCCACCACAGATTTCTCCCTTCCTTGATGTCCCACAAGGACTTTTGAGGTCCCCATGGATTTGGGACATCCCAGAGACCCCATAACCACATCTGGATCCCTTCCAGAAGGTCCCCATGGTTCTCCTCAAACCCCCCTGAGATGTGGCCACCACAGATTCCCCCCATTGTCCCCATCCCAGAAGAACTTTTGAGGTCTCCATGGATTCCTCACACCCCAGAGACCCCATAACAACATCAGGATCCCTTCTAGAAGGTCCCCATGGTTCTCCTCAAACCCCCCTGAGATGTGGCCACCACAGGTTCCTCCCTTCCTTGACATCCCACAAGGACTTTCGAGGTCCCCATGGATTCCTCACTCCCTGGAGACCCCAAAACCACATCGGGGTCACTTCCAGGAGGTCCCCATGGTTCTCCTCAAACCCCCCTGAGATGTGGCCACCACAGATTTCTCCTTTCTTTGACGTCCCAGAAGAACTTTCGAGGTCTCCATGGATTTGTGACCCCCCAGAGACCCCATAACAACATCGGGGTCACTTCCACAGTGTCCCCATCGTTCTCCTCAAACCCCCCTGAGATGTGGCCACCACAAATTCCCTCCCTTCCCCCCACCCTAGAGGAACCATTCTGGTGTCCCCTTGTCCCCCACGCCCTGGAGACCCCATAACAACATCGGGGTCACTTCTAGAAGGTCCCCATGGTTCTCCTCAAACCCCCCTGAGATGTGGCCACCACAGATTCCCCCCCTTCCCCCCACCCCAGCAGAACCATTCTGGTGTCCCCTTGTCCCCCACGCCCTGGAGACCCCACACCCACCTCAGGCTCTCCTGTCCCCCCTCAGTTCCGCCGGCAGCACACGGCTCTGCACAAGCTCAACGCGGTGGCCCTGCTGCTGACCTTCCTGGCCTGCCGGGTTCTTCTCTTCCCGTACCTGTACTGGCGCTACGGGCGCCACCGGGGCCTGGCCCTGCTGCGCGTGCCCTCGGCCCTGCCCCCGGCCTACAACGCCGCCGCCGCCGCCCTGGCCGCGCCCCAGCTCTACTGGTTCGGCCTCATCTGCCGCGGGACCTGGCGCCTCTTCCGGCCGGCGGGGACGCAGCCGCGGCCGCCCTGAGGGGACGATGAGAGGGGACAATGCCCGGGGACAATCCCGGGGATAAACGTGGAACAATCTCGGGGACGATTCTGGGGACAATCCCTGGGATAATCCTGGGGACAACCTGGGGACAATCTCGGGGACAATCCCTGGGATAATCCCGGGGATAATCCTGGGACAATCTCGGGGACAATCCCTGGGATAATCCCGGGACGATTCCAGGGATAACCTGGGGACAGCCTGGGGACAATCCTGGAGATAATCCCGGGGATAACCCAGGGACAATCGTGGGGGCAACCTGGGGACAGCCTGGGGACAATCCCTGGGATAATCCCTGGCATAATCCTGGGGACAATCTCGGGGACAATCCTTGGGACAATCCCTGGGATAATCCTGGGGACAACCTGGGGACAATCCCGGGGACAACCTGGGATAATCTTGGGGGCAATCTCTGGGACAATCCCTGGGGACAATCCCAAGGACAATTCCAGGGATAATCCTTGGAACAACCTGGGGACAATTCCGGGGACAATCTTGGGGGCAACTGGGGACAACCTGGGGACAATCCCGGGGATAACCCAGGGGCAATCCCAGGGATAACCTGGGGACAAACCTGGGATGATTCTGGGGACAACCTGGGGACAACCTGGGGACAATCCTGGGATGATTCCGGGGATAACCTGGGGACAATCCCAAGGACAATCCTGGGGATAATCCCAGGGCTAAACCTGGGACAATCTCGGGGACAACCTGGGGACAACCTGGGACGATCCCTGGGACAATCCCAGGGATAACCCAGGGACAATCCTGGGGACAAAACTGGGGATAACCCAGGGACAATCCCTGGGACAATCCCTGGGACAATCCCCGGGACAACCTGGGGACAATCCCTGGGACAATCCCAAGGACAATCCCGGGGACAATCCCAAGGACAATCCTGGGGACAACCCCTGGGGACAATCCTGGGACAATCCCAAGGACAATCCCTGGGACAATCCCTGGGACAACCTGGGGACAACCTGGGGACAATCCCAGGGACAATCCTGGGACAATCCCGAGGACAATCCTGGGACAATCCCGAGGACAATCCCAAGGACAATCCCAAGGACAATCCCAAGGACAATCCCAAGGACAATCCCTGGGGACAATCCCAAGGACAATCCCAAGGACAATCCCAGGGATAACCCAAGGACAATCCCCGGGACAATCCTGGGACAATCCTGGGACAATCCTGGGACAATCCTGGGACAATCCTGGGGACAATCCCAAGGACAATCCCTGGGACAATCCTGGGGACAATCCCAAGGACAATCCCAAGGACAATCCCAAGGACAATCCCTGGGGACAATCCTGGGACAATCCCTGGGACAATCCTGGGACAATCCTGGGGACAATCCTGGGACAATCCCTGGGACAACCCCTGGGGGCAAGGGGGGAGGGGGTGGGAGGAGCCTGGAGTGGTGGGGGAGGGGATGGGGTGGTCCTGGAGGGGACAACCAGGGATGGCTTTGGGACAACCTGGAGGGGACACCCTGGGATGGCTCTGGGACATCTGTGGGACACCCTGAGGGGTCCTGGTGGCTTTGGGACATCCTGGAGGGGACACCCTGGAGGGGACAACCTGGGATGGCTTTGGGACATCCATGGGACACCCTGGGACATCTGTGGGACATCTTGGGGTGGCTTTGGGACATCCAGGGGACAACCTAGGGTGGCTTTGGGACATCTGTGGGACACCCTGGAGGGGACAACCTGGGACATCCATGGGACACCCTGGGACATCTGTGGGACACCCTGGGGTGGCTCTGGGACATCCGTGGGACACCCTGGGGGGACACCCTGGAGGGGACAACCTGAGGTGGCTCTGGGACACCCTGGGGTGGCTCTGGGACATCCATGGGACACCTGAAGGGGACACCACGGGGTGGCTCTGGGACATCCATGGGACATCCTTGGGACATCCTTGGGACACCTTGGGACATCCATGGGACACCCTGGGGTGGCTCTGGGACATCCGTGGGACATCCTGGAGGGGACACCCTGGGGACGCCCTGGGACACCCTGGGACATCCATGGGACACCCTAAAGGATCCTGGGGGGCCTGGGGTGGCTCTGGGGTGGCCTGAAGGGGACAACTCCAGGTGGCTTTGGGACATCTGAGGGACACCCTGGGACATCCTGGGACACTCAGGGACATCCATGGGGTCACTTTGGGACATCTGTGGGACACCCTGAGGTGTCTGGGGTGGCTCTGGGACATCCATGGGACACCTTGGGACATCCATGGGACACCTTGGGACACCCTGGGACATCCATGGGACACCCTGGGACACCTTGGGACACCCTGGGGTGGCTTTGGGACATCCATGGGACACCCTGGGACACCCATGGGACACTCAGGGACACCCTGGGACATCCTGGGACACCCTGGAGGGGACAACCTGGGGTGGCTCTGGGACACCCTGAGGAGTCCTGGGGTGGCTTTGGGACATCCGTGGGACACATGGGGACACCCTGGGACATCCCTGGGGCATTGTGGGACATCTGTGGGACATCCTGGGGTGGCTCTGGGACGTCCATGGGACACCCTGGGACACCCATGGGACACCCTGAAAGGTCCTGGGGTGGCCTTGGGTCCCTTTGGGGCCGTTTTGGGGCCATTTTGGGGCCGTTTTGGGATTTTTTTGATTTTTTTTTTGATTTTTTTTGTGTCTCCTCCCCCATCCCGTCCCCCATTAAAGAATTTCCAGGCAATTCTGAGTGACCAATGAGTGACCAGAGAGTGACCAATGAGTGACCAATGAGTGACCACAGAGTGACCACAGAGTGACCAATGAGTGACCACAGAGTGACCACAGAGTGACCACAGAGTGACCAGAGAGTGACCAATGAGTGACCAATGAGTGACCAGAGAGTGACCACAGAGTGACCAATGAGTGACCAATGAGTGACCAATGAGTGACCAATGAGTGACCAATGAGTGACCAATGAGTGACCACAGAGTGACCACAGAGTGACCAATGAGTGACCACTGAGTGACCACAGAGTGACCACAGAGTGACCAATGAGTGACCAATGAGTGACCAATGAGTGACCAATGAGTGACCACAGAGTGACCACAGAGTGACCAATGAGTGACCACAGAGTGACCAATGAGTGACCATTGAGTGACCAATGAGTGACCACAGAGTGACCAATGAGTGACCAATGAGTGACCAATGAGTGACCAATGAGTGACCACAGAGTGACCAATGAGTGACCAATGAGTGACCAATGAGTGACCAATGAGTGACCACAGAGTGACCAATGAGTGACCAATGAGTGACCACAGAGTGACCAGAGAGTGACCACAGAGTGACCAATGAGTGACCAATGAGTGACCAGAGAGTGACCAGAGAGTGACCAGAGAGTGACCAATGAGTGACCAATGAGTGACCAATGAGTGACCAGAGAGTGACCAATGAGTGACCAATGAGTGACCAATGAGTGACCAATGAGTGACCAATGAGTGACCAATGAGTGACCAATGAGTGACCAATGAGTGACCAATGAGTGACCACAGAGTGACCAATGAGTGACCAATGAGTGACCAATGAGTGGCCACTGATTAATAAATGAAATAATAAATAAATAATAAAATAAATGATATAAATAATAAAACACAAAAAAAAAATTTAAATATATTTAGGAATAAATAAAAATTCGGAAGGAATGGAAAAAAATTAGAAATAATAATAATAATAATAATAATAATAATAATAATAATAATAATAATAATAAATTATAATAATTATATTATTATAAATTTATATAATATAATATATATAATATATAATATAAATATATATAATATATAATAAATATATATAATATAATAAATATATA